ACACACACACACACACACACACACACACACACACACACACACACACAACTGACTATAGGATGTTTGCTGGCTTTTATCCCACTGTTCTTGTCATCCTCTTGTTGTTATGTATATGTATTGTCTCTTGTCTTTCAATAAAAAAAAACAAAAAAAACAACAACTTTATAATAAATTTAAAAAATGCGTTAACGCGCGATAAAATAATTGTCAGTGTTAATTAATGAATGCGTTAACGTGAAATTAACGCGTTAACTTGCCCAGCACTAATATATATGCATATCATTATTTCACTGAGAACAGAAACAGACATTTCTAAATGTATTTTCAATCGACTGAGGTGTTAAAATGTTCCACTTAAACTATCACTGACTGAAGGACGAGCTCCTTCCTCCTCAACTCTCACCGTTCATCTCAACACTCATTTGTGTTGAGATGTTGAGTTTAATCTTTTCCCAAAAAAGTTATTATTTATATAGGTACTTAAATATAATTACTGAATTAGTTTATGAGTTAACTGCAGATAATGGATGTTAGACTAATTGTGAAATCACTAACTGATAATCCACAAGCTGTACAGCTAAAGTAGATCAATGTTCACTTGTAATGAACTTGATCTTTGATTTGTGTAAATATGAAATGATGAGTCATTGTATCAGATGTGGAGAACTAAACCCTGAGATCTAGAAGATGTTGAAGTGTCTCTGTGTTTCTGGGAGGCGTCCTGACTTTAGTCTCATGTTGAATCATATTACTGCTTCAGCTCATCATGTGTGAAAGATGAGTGCCATCACTCCCCATCTGCTTTACGCACTTCAGAAGGTTTATGATTCAGGAATGATTCATTTCCGTTACATATTTTGATAGTAAATATTATTATTAAATCTGCTACAAGCATATTTGCAATTTGAAAGAGTATTTCAGTAATTATAACAGTAAGTGTTCCTCCCTGTGGGACACATGGGACAGCCTTAAACACCTGTTTACGGCTGGTTTAAATATGCAGACACTCTCACATTCATTCACCTGAAACATCGATCAGTGAACATGTTGGTCTCCTCTCATCCAAAGTGCCCTGAAGATCAAATCTAGAGCTAAAACAACACGCATCACTGTCGTCTCTTTTATAGTTTTTATCCATGTGTGTGTCTGTGTGTGTGTTTGTGTCCGTGTCCATGTTCATGTGTGTCCATGTGTGTGTGTTTGTGTGTCCGTGTGTGTGTGTCCATGTGTCCGTGTGTGTGATTGTGTGTGTCCATGTGTCCGTGCGTGTGTTTGTGTGTGTGTCCATCTGTGTGTGTGTGTGTTCATGTGTCCGTGTGTGTGTGTGTGTGCGTCCATGTGTGTGCGTGTCCATGTGTCCACGTGTGTGTGTTTGTGTGTGTGTGTCCATGTGTCCACGTGTCCATGTGTGTGTGTGTGTGTTCATGTGTGTGTGTGTGTGTGTGTGTTTGTGTGTGTGTGTCCATGTGTCCACGTGTCCATGTGTGTGTGTCCATGTGTCCATGTGTGTGTGTCCATGTGTGTGTGT